TTTGATTTGTCGAGTTGTGACGTTATTGATTGTTTCAAATGCAACAAAGCATCTACCGTCGAAAATCCTCGTTTATAAGCATATTGGTTTCTGTGAATAACCTGGAATCTGTATATAAAAGTTGAAAATCTCTTGTAAAAATCTTCTCGAAAATTTTAGCCAACACTGACACTATTATTATGGGGCGATAATTTTCAATTTTACTTTTTGATCCTTTATTTTTATATAATGGCAAAACTAAGTTTTGATTTAGTTTTTCTGGAAAGTAACCATTTTCAAAAGATTTATTTATCAGATACGATAATGGTTGAGCTAAGATATCAGATATGTGTTTTAAGATTTTAATATTTAAGAAACTGATGTCTTGAGTGCTGTTTTTCAAACCTTTTATAGTATTATAGACTTCTAAGGCTTTTGTGTTTTCCAAAAAGAAAGTATTAGAAATACTAACATTTGTTATATGTTGTTCTGAATTGATATTGCCGAAGACATCTGGAGCAAAGCCGTTTGAGGACCCGTAGTGCTTGGCAAAAATATCACTAAAAGTGCGCTCATCATTTATTATTTTCCCCTCGTAATTCAAATGATCTATTTTAGCCTTATTCTTTGTCCTGGTTACCCGGAAGGGTAACATCTTAATACTTTTCCAGAAGTCAGAAGGAGATTTAACATTGGAAAACAGAAGGCTATAATAGTTTTTCTCTTCATTACGGATAATTTTTCTGATTTGTTTATTCAAGGTATTTATATCCTCTAAATGTTTGTTTGGTTCTTCGAAAATCGTCCAATTTTTATTTTTGACTGTTTTAAGTAAAGTTTTCTTCTGGATTTATCTCGAGATAACTCAGGCAAGTTCCATAGTGTTACATAAAACTTGGGTGTTTGGACCCTCTGAAAAATTTTTTTTTTGGATTTTTGGATGTTTTTTAGGTCCAAATTTTTTCAAAAATTTTTACCCGCGCGAAAAAATTTTATCGCAATTTTAATTTACCTTTAATGATGCATGATTAACACTTAATTGTTTTTTAATGTGATTTTTTATCAAATTTAATTCATCGTTCTAATGTTGTAGTGCACAGATTTGACACAAATATGCTTACTTCTTAACCAATATCCGGCGTGAAAACTCCAAACAAAGATTGGCTATCGAATATACCTTTTTTCTAGTATCTCTGATAGCTTTTGTTAGGCACATCCGTCTTACCTTATTAATTAAAGGTTCATTACCTGGGGGTAGGTGCACCCAGTAAATCGTCATGGGGAATACCCCAATGTTTCTACAATTAATCAAAAAATCCAGTCTCGCTCTTGCTTTCGTAAGAGTGATAATTGCTTTGCGATATTCGTTAGCTGGCATAGCTAACGAATATCGCAACGAATCACGCCGGATATTGGTTAAGAAGTAAGCATATTTGTTTTATATGACCCGGTGTGGGAGAAATCCTTGGCACAGATTTGACTTTGGTAAAGTTATATAAAGCTACTTTCTGATGTCAAAAACGACCTCCAATAGTTTTTTAATTTTTTTAATTAATAGATTTTATTATATGTAAGTTTAATTAAGTCGGGAGGGGTTGGAAATTGCAATAAAAATTTTAATTTTTTAATAATATTTAAAAATATACGGCCAGCTAGTATTTACCCTACTATAAACCCTTCGCCTCCTGAGACTTCTATGAGAATGTCCTGGGAAATCCAACACCAGCTGTTCTTGAGGTCATCCAGCTGTAAACACAATGACTCATCAGTGTCAGATTTCACAGAAAAGCGGGACAATGGAAAATAAAGTTTGAAGCTTTTTCTTCAAAATTAACGCATTTCTTTCATTTTTTTTTTCAGTTTTAAATATTTTTTATGTTTAATTACATTAATATCAAAAATTGGAAAGTCGCAAGGGAGTTAATTAATGTGAGTGTGTGTCCAGATATAAAATTCTTTAAGAATTCTTTCCTGCTAGTTTTATTTTTTTTCACATATTCTTTAGTCGGAAGATATTTATCAATAAAAACAAGTAAAATGGTGTATAAATAGTCAGCTAATTGGTAAGTTGTCAAACTTGAAGTATAGTAATAACTCCAGGAGAAACAAGACGACAAAGCATGGTGTAAACGGCAAATTGAGGAATTATTGATTTTATGGTAGAATGCTTTGTTACTTATCCACGTATCAAGGTCTTTTTCAGGGGTAAAGACGGTGATAGGTAGATGGTCAGATATCAAATTTTGATGTATTAAAAATTGACACACACTATCGTTTGTTAGACCAAAGTCTATCAAAGAGAGTATTTTTTCCGTATCTAGTTGGTTGATTCAAATCAGCCAGAATTGTTAAATTTTCGGCAAAGCAAAGATTTACCAGTTCGGATGTGTCATAGGAGTTATTTTTGAGTAAATTGATGTTAAAATATCTGATTATTTGTAATTTATATTTTCCATATTTGGTTGATTTGTGTAATAGTATTTCATTTATAACATCCAGGAAAATTCTATAGTTTGTAGGTGGGGAATGATAGACTATTACCAGTATCAAATTACCTACAACTATCGTAATTACATCTATATAATTCCTTGTAAAAGTTAGATCTGAAACAACTTCATAATGCTTATCATTATGTATATATATTACTATACCTCCATGCTGATTAGGTTTTCTTTTTATTCTTTCTTGCTGATAGTCTTTTATATATTGTGGAGGATTTACATCATTTGTCCAAGTCTCGCAAAAAGCTAATACATCAAAGTTGCAGTAATATTCCTTGGTTGTTTTAAGTATTTCCAAATACTTATTATTTAAACCTCTTACATTGCAATAAAAAACGAATATGTTTTTTTTGGAGAAGCCGTCTATCTTTGCGTGTGTTAATAATTCAGTCATTCTGAAAAATTTTCTCTAAACTATCCAATGTTGCTATCCGAATTGTTGGAGAAGAAGTATCCTTTTTTAAATACATATTTCTGTTATTTGTCCAAGTGTTGAATATTTTTCCTTGTTTTGTAGAAAATATTTCTATAATATGGAGTAAGATGTTCATTTATATATATTCTATATTCTTCATTTATAATATGACATGCATTTGTAGTTATTTTTAACTTCTTCTTTTTAATATTATTTATAATTTTTTGTTTAACAACTGAATTGGCACATTTTACTATAATTGGTTGCGATCTAGTTTTGAATTCTTTTCTTTCGTTATTAATGGATTTAATTCTATAGGCATTCAATAGACCTGACTGATTAAAATTATCATCAACAAACAAAAAATTTTATACAGTCGACCCCCCTATAATGTGGGTTCCTATAACAGAAATTCCTATAACATAGTGAAAAAATTGCGGCAGTATTCGTATAAAGGGACTCGTAAAACGTTGTTGCTGACTTGTGTCGCAACAAGATTGGTTGAATCTGGACCAATAGTGGATGAGCAGCCGAACTACTTTTCGCCGTCCAGCGCCATGCTACGGAAAGTTTAGGCGGGTAAATTGAGTTTGGTATCGTCTGTACAGTATTATATATAAATTATATATAAATTAGGTACTGTACATATAATTATATATTAATTATATATAAATTAGGTACTGTATATATAATTATATATTAACTTAATTTATTGTAACTTTATTATAATTATATATATGCTTTCTGCCGCCTGGCAACANTTATATATTAACTTAATTTATTGTAACTTTATTATAATTATATATATATTTTCCGCTGTCCAGCGCCATGCTACAGAGAGTTTAGGCGAGTAAGTTGAGTTTACTATCGTCTGTACAGTATGTAAATTAGGTACTGTAAGTGTAAACAGCACTAATTTTATACATTTCTTGTGAAAGAAACATTTCTTATTCAACGGCCATAAAAATTATTTATATTAATGATGTCTCCAAAGCTCAGTGAAGTTTTCGCAGAAAAATAACATCAGAAATCGCGGCCGCAGTTTGCTGAGCTGTTCCGCGATGAAAACAAACTTGAGCAACGGTGATGTCGAATGGTGCACACTCGGTAAGTAATCCTACAATTTTTTGTTTATAGCGTAGTTTATACGGATTATTTCCAAAAAAAATATACATATTTTGGAAATGTTGAGTCAAATTAGTCTAGAATCAGTTAATTTTATAGAAGAAAACCTTTCAAACAGCCTTAGTCCGTAAACTTCACACGTGTTGGGCTGTGATTGGCTCATGTATTTAAGGATTCCTACAACTTAAAATTCTTATAAAGTGGAACGTATCTAAGCATTATAGGGGGTCTATTGTATGCTATTTCTGTTAAATTCTCATTCTGAAGTGTCGGCACGCCAACAACCTCCAAGCTTGAGTTGTTTAGATCCTGCTCCAACATGCAGAATTTTTCTTTTAAAGAATTTAATTCTGTTTTCGTACTATTATTCTCTTCCTTTAGTTCTGTCATTGTTTTGATAGCAGTTACATAGTTTTTCTCTAAAACATTAATTCTCTCTTCCATTTTGTCAAACTTATTTGTTAAGAATTCTATCGATTTTTGGATTTCTATGTTTGTTTCTTTTATGTTACTCAACTCCAAGTGTATTAGTTTTACTTCTTGTAAAATTATTTCAGAATTTTTGGTAGTTATACTTAAAGGTACCGTTGGAGTGAAAGTTAGATTATTTGGTGTTCTCTCCACGTTCTTATTATAATTATGTGAAGTCATAATAATCTGCTCACACTATTATTACTAAATAACTTTCAAATTTGAGAATAAATCTTCCCATAATGTTTTCTGAAGAGTAACTGAATGAATGAAATAGAATTTCAGAATTTTATTAAATGGTCTGATCATTGCAATTTATCATTCTTTACCATATAAGAAGGCTTATCTATTCTTGAAGGAAGCATACTGTCTTTCTTGGAGTTGTAATTTTTTATGAATAGCAGTGTAGTTAACATTTATCTGGATTTTTAAATGATGATTATTTAATGAATAATATGTAAAATATTGTAATTGTTACATTAAAATAAGATTTTATTTTAATTTAATAGGATCTACAAGTATACAGAAATACGATCTTCGAACTAATAGTTGGTCACATTTCAGTAACATGAATGGACGTAGACTTCAATTTGGTGCTGCTGTGCTCGATAATAAACTATATATTGTAGGTGGTAGAGATGGATTAAAGACATTAAATACAGTTGAATGTTATGATTTAAAAACTAAGAGTTGGTCTGGAGTTCCTGCTATGTCAACACACAGACATGGACTCGGTGAGTGTATAATTGTTTACTGTTTAGTTAAAATAATAACAGTTTAATAAATAATGGTTATTGAATACCCTATACAGAGCTTATTGAATATCAAAAAGAGAGATTTATGCTTATGTAAAATAATACACTGTATTTACTTGAATATAAGATACCATCAAATCTAAGATGCACCTTAATTTCAATGTGCTTACACTTGAATTTAAAAAAAAAAAAAAAAAAAGACAACTTGAGACAAATTTGTCAACAGAATCAGTTCTGTTGATGTAAATTTATTTAGTATTTATTGCACAATAAAGCAAGTTATATACTGCTGTATTTTCTTGGTATTGTAGTTGGAAACCTCTTCACTTTCTTGTGAATTAATACTGGATTTGATGCTTGCATCTTTTCACATGCAATTATCCTCAGTGTCATTTGAGGCATTGGAAATGCAAATTTCTTGAAAGAACACCACACAATTTTTTATATGGGTTTTTTTAAGTTGTTATCTAAGTAGTTGGGACATTAATGCATTACTTTTCAATATTTGGAATAATAGTCTCAGGTTATAAATTCATGAGCTTTAATGCATAGATGTGGCCATATTTGCAGGCTTGTAACAAGCACTTCAGTGGTTGAATATTATGCAACTGATTAACAGAATATGTAATTTCCTTTTGAGTTTTCTTTTCTGGTTGTAAAGGATACCTTTCTTATATTTCATATGTAAAGTTCAAGACACCTGTTCTTTTACACTTAATGACTGTGGAGTTCACTGAAAATAGCAGTGTTGGATCCTCTTCATGTAAGATATTCTCAAAGTTTATAAGTCTAGTGAGTTTAGCATACATTATTGTTCTGAAGCTTTAGATTGCTTTCCTTAGGCATGCAGGTGCTCCCCTAATTATAAACAATTTAGGTTCTGTAAGTCCTAGAAAGTACATTTGTACACAGAATTACCACTTATTGCTTGTGGTTTGATTCTTCAATATACTTAATAAAATACATTATGTTCACTTTTTTACTTGCTACTGCTTAGTAGCAGGTGTTTCACAGTTTTTTTTTCACCTAACACACTTAGTTTTGTAATGTCTAGTTTAGTTTCCAAAGTAGTAGAGCAACACTTCTACATTTATCTCCACTGCTAGATTTATTATTACATTTTGGATGTGTTTTTGAAGCACTAATTGTAAAAGTTTATAAAAAAGTTTTTCCATCTCCTTAAACATTTATACAAGTACTGTACATATGAGAAATGTCTCTACCAATCAGCAGCCATGCAGATATTTCTAATGAATCATTCAAAACATTTCCACCAATCAGTGGCTGACAACATATTAGTTTTGATTGTTTGAAAGTTGTACAGTTATAATTTGATTAGCAGCCTGAAAATGTCCAGTGAAAGTGAATGAAAACTAGATATGCTTTACTAGTGACAATTTTGCTGGTTTTAGGTTATTGAGTTGTTAGGTATTTACACATTAACCAGCATTCAGCAGTGGTCTATTATAATTTGTAATTATATAACTTCTGAAAGATATCTATAAATCACTTTGTAAAATTATTGCAACTCACTAATAATAATCTTTTATGAAACTTGAATAATAACATCTAATAACATCATTAAGAAAAGATTCACAACTGTGAGCATTATAAATTTTTGAAAGTTTACCAAGTAGAGTTATATATTTTTGCTAAACATCCTCATTACACTACAATAAAATTACAAACTTTTATAAAATAAACATATAAAACTTGTAATACTTTTTAAAAAAATTTTTATAAGAAAGGTACAATTATTTACCTGATATGAGTACAGTAATACCCCAAACTTATGCGATAGGTGGGACCAAGCGATAACTGCGTAAGTTGAATTTGCATAAGTCGGGGTATAATTCTGCAATTTGTGTAAAATCCAAGTCGGATGTATGTAAGCTAATAAATGTTCTTGTTAATCTTATCTCATCTTTTGATTCATTCACAGTTGCAAGAAATCACCACATAGAGTCTCTCGAGTCTCCGTAGATATAGCAAACACAGAAATAAATAACACAAAATAAATTGTAGCTATATGTCGATTCTGCACGACACGTCCGAACATGTAAGCTGAACAATAGTGTGGGGGGAGTGACTAATTAAGAGTTGTGTGGCACTCAAACAAAAGACAAATCGATGAGATTTGAAAATCGCATAACTCCGGGTTCACATAAGTCGAGGTATTACTGTACAGTAATACCCTGAATTACGCGATAGGTGGGACCAAGTGGTAACCGCGTAAGTCGAATTTGCGTAAGTCGGGATATAATTTTACATATAAATACATACAAATAATTTTTAATTGGGGCCAGAGACTAAAGAAAATAATTTAGAAAAAAATGTTTAATAAAATCTTAGATAATACATATGTATAACAAATTAGGCCTATATTATTTTACAATTTTTCACATTTACTTGATTATTATGCCATAATTTTAACACTGTTTCCATCTCAGTGATAATACCGTGATGTTTACGAATGATGCTTGAATTTAAAGATTGAGCATTTTTCACAGCTTTGAGAATTTTTTCTTTGCCTTTTATAATTGCTCTGACCAACAATTCTGGTAGATAAAACTTCTTTGCCAATTCACAAATGTTCATTTTTGTATCGAAGTCTTTAATAATGGGTACGTTCGTAAAGTCAAATGAGTTAAACACGTTAGTAATGAATCGTTTGAAAAGTCTAATGAAATAGGAATAACGATGACGTCATTCTCGTTTAACTCGTTCAACTTTACGAATGTACCTAATGTTAACTTTACATTCCAAAGATAAAGTTTTTCTTTTCTTGTTTGATGCAGAACAATTAGTTCTACTTCGTTTGGATGACATAGTAGAGTCTCTCGAGTCTCCGTAGATATAACAAACACAGAAATAAATAACACAAAATAAATTGTAGCTATGTGTGGATTCCGCAAGACACATCCGAACATGTAAGCCGAACAATAGTGTGGGGGTAGTGAGTAATCAAGGATTGTGTGGCGCTCAAACAAAAGACAAATCGACAAGATTTGAAAATTGCGTAACTCTGGGTTTGTGTAAGTTGGGGTAGTGTAAGTCAGGGTATTACTGTATTTCCAAAGTGTAAGAATACAACTCTACAAATGTCAAAACATTCAATTAGGAAACACGAATATCTCATCGTAATTCTAAGAATATTATACATGAAAATGTAGAACAACAATATAAGTTAAATATTTTTTTAAATAAAATATAAAATTCATCTGGATACGAGTCCAAGTTTACTTGCCATGTCTAATCACCAGGAACAACTATTTCTATTGCAGAGACAACCTTTCTTTAGAGGCTATGCCTCTGCACGAATATGTAAAACAGTTTAAAATGTCCACAGGTGACAATCCCAACACAATTAAAAATATAATATTTNTTATATTGAATTTTATATTTTATTAAAATGTAATTCTGCCAGCCCATTTCTACTAACAAATATTAAATTTTATATTTTATTAAAATGTAATTCTGCCAGCCCATTTCTACTAACAAATATTATATTTTATATTTTATTAAAATGTAATTCTGCCAGCCCATTTCTACTAACAAATATTATATTTTATATTTTATTAAAATGTAATTCTGCCAGCCCATTTCTACAAAAAAATTAAATATTTTTCATAAAAATTAATTTACCACAAAATGTGCGCGTAAAATAACGTATCGCCGACTGAACCAGAATGCAAACCTGGACGATGATGAGTTGTTGCGGCTGCAAAGTCTTGCAACTAAGTAATGGCAAGAACTGACCGGTTTATGCAAAAATGGGGGATTTGTCCACTCATGGGGCACTTCCTGTCTTAGAGGAGCATTTACTTATTCTGGCAGCATTAGGGTGAATTTTTCACATCATCACTACTGTACTGTATAATTATTTTCATGTTGTTTTACATTTCATTGTTATTTTACATTTATAACATTTTTAGAATTATGATGATATATCCATATTTCTTAATTGGATGTTATGACATTTGTAGCATTGTATTCTTACACTTTGGAAATATCAGGTAAATAATTGTACTTTTCTTATAAAAATATTTTTAAAAAGAATTACAGTAGATTCCCCTATAACACATAGATACGTTCCTAGTTATACGAATTTTGCATTGTAGGAATCCTTAAATACATGAGCCAATCGCAGCCTGACACGTGAAGTTTACGGACTATGGCTGTTTGAAAGGTTTTCTTCCATAAAATTAATCGATTCTAGACTAATTTGACTTAACATTTCCAAAATACGTATAATTTTTTGGGAATAATTCATATAAACTATGCTATAAACAAAATATTGTAGGATTACTTACTGAGTGTGCACCGTTCGACGTCGCCATTGCTTAAGCTTGTGTTCGTTGTGGAGCAGCTCACCAAACAGCAGCCGCATTTTCTGATAAGTTATTTTTCTGCGAAAAATTCGTTGAACCTTGGAGACATCATTAATATAAATAATTTTTATGGCCGTTGAATAAGAAATGTTTCTTTCACAAGAAATGTATAAAATTACAGTGCTGTATTAGACTTACAGTACCTAATTTACATACTGTACAGATGATAGTAAACTCAACTTACTCGCCTAAACTCTCTGTAGCGTGGTGCTGGACGGCGGAAAGTAGTTCTGCTGCTCGTCCGCAATGACGAGTTGGCGATGACGTTTTACGCGTCCCTTTTAGCATCTTTATATGAATACTGTCGCAGTTTTTTAGCCGCATTATAGGAATCTACGTTATAGGAACCCGCGTTATACGGGGTCTACTGTACAAGTTTTATATGTTTATTTTATAAAAGTTTGTAATTTTATTGTAGTGTAATGAGGATGTTTAGCAAAAATATGTAACTCTACTTGGTAAACTTTCAAGAATTTATAATGCTCACAGTTGTGAATCTTTTCTTAAAGATGTTATTAGATGTGATTATTCAAGTTTCATAAAAAAAATTATTACAAATGACAATGAAATGTAATTTGTAACCAATTATTTATTTATATCTGTTGATTTTGATTTTTAATTGAGGTGGAATGTTTAACAAAGCCTCTTCTATGTGGCTTACAGAATTGTGTTTGTTCTCGAAATCTGTTTGATTGATTTTGATAAAACTTTGCCATTTTTCATTAAGTGCAGTGAAGAATCAAAAAATGTAATGTGGGTCCATTTAAATGTAAAAAAAAATAAGAGTTTATGACTTTGTTTTCAATATACAGAGTGGCAATGTTCCTGCTCTTAGGAGTCAAAAATAAAAACAGTATTGCATGCCCTAATGGATAATAGGTGCAAGAAACAAGAAAAAGCAATTAATGACAATTGCTTTGTTCTTGGATTGCCTTTCTGCATTGGCAAGTGTAAGGATTGCCTCTTCCATGGTCAGCAGTTACAAGGATAGCCTCTTTTGTGGTAACAAGTGCAAAGTTACCTGTCTGTGTCCCCTGGATACAAGGACTGCCTTGTCTATTCTTAGCAGATGCAGGGATTGTTTTTTTCTTTCCTACTCTACCTTGATTCAATCGCAATATGACAAATTCACGTGATGTTCTAGTTTTAATTAATGTTGTCTTTCTTTTAGGTGTTGGTGTCTTAGAAGGACCTATGTATGCTGTTGGTGGACATGATGGATGGAGTTATTTAAACACAGTTGAAAGATGGGACCCTCAGTCACATCAATGGAGTTATGTGGCCCCAATGAATACTCAACGAAGTACAGCTGGGATAGCCATTCTGAATAATAGGTAATTTATTTCTATTACAATATTTATTTGTCTATAAATTTTTCAGTTCATGAAATTTTAAGGTCTATATTTTAATAACAACTTTCTTGCCAGCTACCACCTTGTCAAAGTGAGAGCTCATTAATTTCAATGAACTATAGAACTGTGTTGATAGGAGCAAACTTTGTAATAGGGGTTACTCATATCAATCATGTCAGTAAGATCTATGTCAAGAAATTTTCATACTTGGGTATTTGAGATAATTGGGTAATGCAGTGTTTCTCAGCCTGTGTTGTTTAGAATATATGATCTGCATATTATAATTTCTGTCATCTGTTAATTTAGATTCATATCCTGATGGACCAGGTGGACATTCTTGTAATTTTGTGTACTGTACCATAATAATTTCAAAAGGATACCAAAAAGTTATTTCAAAGTTTTTATAGTTTTGAAACACTATACATATTCGTAATTTCTTTTATTCCTCAAATAAAATGAAATAAAATCAAGTTGGAGTATTTCTTAATTGCTAATAGAATTCACTATCAGTTTATCAACATTATTATAATTTGGATGATTAGATTCATCAAAATCAATTATAGGATAGTGTGAGACTATGAGGGCCCAGGGTCAGTTTCCTAATTGCCACTTACATGTCAAGTTGGTAAAACTCACTCACTTTGTCACTGGATGGCTTTTAGGAGGGCAAACAAATTTCGAGTGGGGTGTTGGTATGTTGATAGGTGTTCAGGTTCCTGAATAGACAGGCAACAGGGTTTTAACAGATAACAAAATAAAAGTTTAATGAATTTCTATCCCTAAGATACATGAGAATGTTTATGGCTAAATACAGTCAGGTTATAGAGGGCTAGATGCGACTAAATGCGGTTAAACTATGATTACAAGATATATTATTTACAACAGGACTAATCTATAACAGCTATGCCTATTTCCGTTCAGAGAGAGAGTTCGCAGACCGCTAACAATTACCTCTATGTGTTGATGGAGAGCTATTGGCGACAATTTCTTACGATTATGAAAGTATCGTAGTCCTCATCCTCTGTTTACTTGGTGATCAGGATGTGGAGGCTAAATTGTGCACTATCTCAAGTACAACTTCCAATCGAGCACCTGAGCTTCAGGATGCCACCCTTTATAGCTGTGGTTCTTAACTTTTTTATACTTGTGGCCCACCAAATATTTCATAATTTTTTTTGTGACTTTCATTTTTGTAATAATAATTTATATTTGTTAAATTATCTATAATAAATTGATTTTTTTATTATTGCTTTACTTTTTATATAATAAATGTAAAGCAACTTTATTATTTCATTATCTATTTAAATAACATTCAAACTTCACAATTAAACATAAAAACTCATTAATTTTTAACAGAAAATAAAATAAGAAACATTTAAAAATTCATAGAAGAAACAAAAAATATTCAAAAATAATTCATTGGGTTGTTCAGAAAGTAATTTCATGTTTTTTTCGTGAAAAAAAACAATATTTTTATAATAAATAAATATTTTATTGAATTATATATTGACCATTGTGGTCAAATACCTGTTGTCATCATTTCTGGTAGTAGCATGATTTCACATTCATAAAAGTTTTGATCGTTGCTTACAAAAACTGATCCAAGTGATTTATGACATTGTCATTTCAAGTAAATGTCTTCTGGTCTATACAAATTTTTTTGACTGTAACAAGTAATAATCTGAGTGTGCTGGATCTGGCAAATATGGTTGGTGTGATAGCATGTCCCATCTATGTTATAACAGTTTCTGATGAGTTACCAAACTTGTGTGAAATTTGACATTATCGTGGTAAAACATTACACCTGTTTTGTGGATCAATTCTGGCAGCCTTTTCTGTTTGATGATATTACTCAGTTTGTTTACTCGATGGCAGTACATTTTTGAATAAATTTTTAAAATGTCTGGTAAAAGCTCCAAAAAAAATTTCCTTAAAATTCTACCAAAGAGAGCATCTCTGTTTAAGAACATGTGAAACCCATATATCGAGCTTTGAAACGAAACCAATTTGTTTCAAGTAATCATAAACGGTTCAATTTGACAAATTTAATCTCTTGGTAATTTTATGTGTTGTTATTCGGCAGTTTGCTTCAATCAGTACCTTTATTTTGTTTTCGTTGGCCTCAACTGGCCATCCAGAACGTGGTGCATTTTCAATAATGAAATTGCAAGAACAAAATTTTGTAAACCAGTTTTGGCACTATCTTTCTGTCAATACATCTTCTTCGTACATGTCACATTATTTTTTTCTCGCTTGAACAGCATTCTTACCTTTTTGGTAATAAAAGAGCAAAATATGCCCAAAATGCTGCTTTTGATCTTTCATATTTGATGGGACACAAAAAATAAACAATTGCACAAAATCAAACAAAATTTTTAATAGTGATGTAATGAATATTCGGTTACTATTCGGTATTCGGCCTATTTTTCGCTATTCGGCCGAATACCGAATACCTAAAAACAGGAGTAAGAAATAACAAAAACACAGTAAATTAATCATTTTGGTATTTAGATTTAATGTTATTGGGTTAGTGTTGTTTGTTTATATTTATTTATAACTTATAACATGCATAAAATAAAAAAAATAATATTAGTCACATGTATTTACAATTTATAATTACAAATATCAGCACATGTACACACCTATTCGTTCGAGAATCGTCGCACACATCTGAGGGTCTGACCCTGACTATCCTTTTTAAGTGCTTGTCTTTGCTCTTTCCTCTATCTCTCTAGTCCACGTATGCCTATGCGTACATCATAATACACGCTCACGATACTTTCGATTTGTCACTTTTCCATCGTAGTTTTTCCATTTTATAATTACGTGACTCATAGCCTGGTGATAACAGAGAAAAGAGACAGATAGGATGTCGGTATATGTCACAGTTATGATTTCACAGATTCGAGACAGCTTGATAGCCTGAACGGTCCCAGGCTTTCGTCTATGACTTTCATTACAGGCATTTAGCTTTCCAAAGTCTATGACAACAATTGTTTGGCATTGACGGCCGCAAATTTCACACCAATAAGCTTATTCGACTTGTTTGATTATGTTATCAACTCAATTTTATGTTTATTTTCACATTTTCACTTTGCAGTCTTTCTCTGTTCTTTTTCCGTTATTTACACGTTTAGGTCATTTTATTGTTATTCACATTTGATATCATCATTTATCACATACTGCCACAACACTCTTGTCTGTCTGCTACAACTGTCAAGAATTAACACGATTGATGAAGCATAGTGACAGAGGGGCAATGGAGAGCAGGGTCCTTGCCATAATGCGATTTGCGTGCCAATTTTTGTATGTGTGTTAATCAAGCTGAATAATTTGGCCAAATATACTATTCGTTGCAACATTAATTTTTAACAAATAAGCCTTAAAATGTTGGCTGTCAAAATATATAATGATAATACGATTTAAATGAAAATGACGGGAAAAATATGACTAATTCCTCTAGTGGTAAAAAAACGAAATTACTTTCTGAACAACCCAATAATGAGATTTCTGCTGCTGAATATCCTCAACTAATTGTTAATTCTTGGTTTAATTGTTTGTAAGGCATCTAATCACAATCGATTGCATTTTTTTTTTTTTTTGTTTTTATATCCACTGTGAACCGAGGGGGTAGAGCAACGGTTCCCAACCTTTTTCGGGTGGCGACCCCTTTTTATAAAAGCCAAGTGACCCGCGACCCCGATACTATTGAAAAAGACATTTTTGATAAGGTAATTAAAAAAAACAACGAAATTAGTTTTTTTAGTATAATTTTATTTTAAATTATGTCTAATGATTTAATGCGATTGTTGACATTGTATGTTATTAACCAGCCTTAAAAGTCACGGGTGAGTTTTTGTTAACGCCAACCTCATGTCATTCTCAACATTTAATTTATTCCTCTCAAACTCTCAACACATCATTCAACCAACTGTGACAGAATAGCGTACCTACATTACACTTATTTTAATTTTTAAAAAATATAGTCGACCCCCCTATAACACGATAGATACGTTCCGTTTTTTATGAAATTGATGTTTTAGGAGACCTTGTTAATTACAGCCCGACACGTGTGAAGTTTACGGACTACGGCTGTTTGAAAGGTTTTCTTCCATAAAATTAATCGATTCCTAGACTAATTCGACTCAACATTTTCAAAATACGTATATTTTTTGGGAATAATCCGTATAAACTATGCTATAAACAAAAAAATGTAGGATTACTTACCGAGTGTGCACCGTTCGACGTTGCCATTGCTTAAGCTTGTTTTCGTCGCAAAGTAGCGCACTAAACGGCGGCCGCGTTTACTGATAAATTATTTTTCTGCGAAAACTTCGTTGAACTTTGGAGACATCATTAATATAAATAATTTTTATGGCCGTTGAATAAGAAATGTTTCTCTTTCACAAGAAATGTATAAAATTAGTGCTGTATTAGACTTACGGTACCTAATTTACATACTATACAGATGATAGTAAACTCAACTTACTCGCCTAAACTCTCTGTAGCGTGGTGCTGGACGGCGGAAAGTAGTTTGGCTGCCCGATGACGTTTTACTGAATTATAAGAGTTTTTTACCATGTTTATACGGACACCATCGCAATTTTTTGCCTTCATATAGGAATCCGAACTATAGGAACCCGTGTTATAGGGGAATCGACTGTATATAAAATTACTCAAACTTCAAGGCACCATTAAAAATAAAAATTGCATTATAGTGAACATTTTTTTTAGTTAACTGTATAAGTCGACGACCCCACAGAAAGCCCGTCGCAACCCCCTTCTGGGTCGCAACTCACAGGTTGGGAACCCGTGGGGTAGAGCATCGAGCTTGTCCCCACTTACCGGCTTCTCTGTCAGGGGATGGCATTAGGAGGGCCAAAAGTTGAGTGGGGAGGTCAATGGGCAAGCTGACAGTTTCCAAATAATTACACAGGTTAAACAAGAATAACACATTTAATAAACTATAAAATTATACACAG